ATATATATATATATATATATTTTTTAACTCACATCTATAATGTATTCTTAAATATTATTCTATATTTCTTATACATTTATTTATTATATAAATAAAATTAAATCCATTAATTATTCTTTACTTTACAATCTTGAATAACGTTTCAGAGTAGGATATCTGGTAAAGCATTTTTTTTTGTACCATGCATATATATATATATGAACTTTTTAATTATACATTTATAATGTATTCCTAAATATTAACTATTATTTATTATATAAGTAAAATTAAATCGATTAATTGTACTTTACTTTACAAACTTGAATAATATTTAAGAGTATGATATCTGAAGCATTCTTTTTTTGTGCAATGGCATAATTTGCAATTGTATCTGATTTTCTTTTTCAATTCGACGAACAGACTTTACATTTTTGTGTCGGGAATTTCTTCTTTCTTCTTTTATTGCTTCGAGTGTCTTTAATTCCTCGATTAATTCGTCGATCGAGTCGAAAAACATTAAAAAGTGACATCTCGTGATGCAATATATTAATGGAGCGTTGTTGTTTGTTCTTCTCCTGTTCTCCTGAATAAACATCTCTTTACACGAGAAATAACGTAAAGAGATTCGATCTTGGACAAATACCGTTGACAAATATTTTATCAGAAAAATTATCTAATTTGTAGGATTTAAAATCGTGACTCTTAGATACTTTCCTTTTTCTTTTTCTTTTTTTTTTTTATAGATAATTCTCAAAAATCAAACTTATCATTTTCCAAACCCGTCCCAACCTTCTCTTCTCCCACAACAGCCCGCAAAAAAAGTCTGAAAGAAAGCGAGGAAGGGGGGGAGAGAAATCGAAGCTTCAAAGCTCGTAATTCACGAAAAAAAACGTGGAGAGCCCGGTGACAGGGATGGAAGAATGGCGGACAATGCGCGCCAATAAAAAATGCAATCGACAAAGCGTTACATAGAGGGCGGTTAAATTGGATGGAAGGTCTCGGATGGAAAATCGAGTTTGAAAAAAAACAAAAAAAACTGACGCGTTCAAAGGTAACCAGAATGCCATGGTTGGTTCCTCGCCACGATAACTCTGGCGTCTATTGCGGCCGGAAACTCGCATGAATTTATGGTTTAATATGCGGCCCGCCGCGTTAGTTGTGTACGCCCCCTAACACTCTCGCCTCCGCTGGATGGAGAAAAAGGGAAAGAGGAACAGAGAGAGAGAGGTTCCATTCTCTCGGGGGTCCATAACTTTTCCCGATTAAGCGCAAATCAAAAAGCAATCTGCTCGGCCGGCAGCCATCGGACGCGGCCAAGTAGAACCATAAATAACGGCAGAGTTTGAAGAAGCGGCGAAGAAGCGGGTGGAAAACTCGTTCGAATCGTTTTGGTTTTTCTGAGAGAGAGAGAGAGAGAGAGAGAAGGAAGGATATCTTTCTTGCGAAGATCTTTCCTTTCATTATTTATTTCATCCTTTTATAGTCCGGTTTTGGTGTTGAGTGGAACTGGAGATTGAAGATTGATTAATTATTGGTGATTACAAGTTGGTTATATTGATATTGTGAAGTGTAGAGAAGAGGATGTGTAAGGCATATATGTGCGAGGTTGGTAAAGGAATAAAAATGAAGTTATTGACGTTCAAGTGGATGTTGTTGAATTGGAGATTGAAGAGGAGGTTGGAAGTGAGAGAATTATAAATTGAAATTGAATATTTTTATCATTGAATATTGGATATTGAAATTGTGTTATTGTGAAACGTAGATTGGAGAGAAAATAAGTATGAAATTGTTATTCTTGTCATTATGTAAATTGAAGTATTGAAGCAATAGTGCTCATATTAGAGTGGATATTGAAGATTGAACAGAAAGTGTATGCAATAAGTTGGCATCCAAATGGATATTGCAAATTGAAGATGAAGTTGAAATATAATAAATTAAAATTGATATTATCATTGTTGTGTATACAACAAGTGAATATTATGAGATTGAGAAGGAGAAATACGTGATAACTTAAAGTTGATATTCTTGGATAATATTTGAAAGGAATTTTTATGGAGAATATCTCTTATTACTTGGAAGAAATGCAATTTTTGATAAAACCAAAAAGGGAAAATTGAAAGACAGAATTTGAATCGAGAAATCTAACTGACTGAAGTAATGTTGAATTTTTCTGAAATATTTGGATGGAGAATCGATCGAGATGGAAGGTCGTGACAAAGGAGGATGACAGGCAGGAAGAAGAAAAGTGCAAGTGGTGGTCGGTGAACGGTCGTTATTGAAGTCGACTTGGCATCTGGGTAAAATTGGAGGTCGGTGATCGTTACGTTGTGAACGGTCAGCTATTCCCAATCACTTCTGAGCTTTATTGGACGACGTGTTGAATTATAAACGAAGATCGAACCCTCCGACGATACGTGCCCGAGGTTCCTGACCTTCTTACCATCGAAACACAGAACGAATACCATCTTTAAAACCTCTCGTAACACCAATCGTATCATTCTAGGTATAAAATATTTAAAAATATAATATTCTATGTACTCGAAAAAATTATAACAAATATTCTTCCTTTTCTAGCAATTAGATAAACAATTTCTATATTTGGAACTTAGTATTCTCATCAATTAATTTAAGATATTTTATTTTGATATAGTCAACACAAACAAAAAATATCTAAAATAATTAGAATCCTCCAATCATTTTCCTCTTACAAATATTTTCTTTAAAATCTATCGTATCATAAAAATATTCTAAAATATAATATTCCATAGAATTGCATTTGCAACTTGATATTCTCAAGTCAACTCAAACAAACAAACAAACAAAATATCTAAAATAATTATATAATCCTCAAATCATTTTCCTTTTATAAATATTTACTTTAAAACTCTCGTATCATAAAATATTCTAAAATATAATATTCCATATTCGAATTGCATTTGCAACTCGATATTCTCATCAATTAATTTAAGATATTTTATCTTGATATAGTCATGAACAAACAAACAAAAAATATTTAAAATAACTAATATCTTCCAATCATTTTTTCTCTTATTAATACTTTGTTCAAAATCTCTCGTAATACCAATTGTATCATTGTAAATATTCCAAAATATAATATTCCATATGCTCCAAAAATATTCTAGCAACTAGAAAAATAATTATTAATATATTTTTCTATGCTTAATTTGCAATACTCAATATACTTAAGATATTTTACTTTGAAATAATCAACACAAACAAACAAACAAAAAATAATTAAAATAATTAGAATCCTCCAATCATTTTCCTCTTACTTTCTTTAAAACTTCTGGTATCATTGCAGATATAAAATATTCTAAAATATAATATTTCATACTCGAATTGCATACTTGCATTTGCAACTCGATATTCTTACTTTCTTTAAAACCTTTAGTACCATTGTAGATATAAAATATTCCAAAATATAATAATTTCAAATATTTCAAAAATAATTCACAATATATTCTTCCTAACAATTACAAAAATAATTATCAATATATTATTCCCTTACCTTTGCCACCTTCTTCCTGCATCAACGACTTCGAAACCTGTGACTGTATCTTCAAATCCGAGGATTTCGCGTCGTTGGAAGTGTGATTCTTCGATTCGATGCAACTTTCAGGACTGGCCGACCGATCTCTGGAGATGGGTGGGGGCGATGGGCTGCATCCCAACAATTTCCTCACGGAGAGCTTTAATTCGGGCGTCTTGAGGGGCGGCAGGGCGTCGGTTGTGTTAATCGCGTCCTTCGCCTCCTTGCTCTTGGTCGTGACCGAGAGGTCTTCCGGTTGGAGGCGGCCTTCCGGCGACGGCGGCTCGTCCACGCTGCTCCCCTCGACGCTCGACGGATCCTGGACGGATTCGCGTGTCGCAGCGCCGACATCTGGACAACCATTGCCGGAAATCAGTTTCTCTAAGCCGCTTTCTCTCAAAAAGCGTCTTTTTGAGAAAGAAGAAATTTCTGTTGGAATGAAACGACGGAGGGGAAGGAAATTTGGACGTCGCCTCGCAGGCGAAGAGAAAGGAAAGCGAAAATTGTGTTGAAGAAGAAATGATTTTTAAAGATTCGAGAAAAGAATTTGCGGATTGGATTCGAAGTTATTCGGATCTTTGAAGTATTTATTAGTTTTGATGTTTAAGTGGTTACGAGAGAGAATTCGAAAAGAAGTAGCATAAGTCGAAGCGTCAAATTTTAAAGAGTTTGCTTTCAAATTGAGGATTCAGGATTCCAACCAACTGTTTGTTTGAGAATCATTTTTAAAGGTAGAAGAGGCACGTTCGCTATTCTTGGAGACAAATAGTGGGAAGCGAATCGTGCATGAGGATCAATTGATTACTGAACTCACTGAATAGGAAAAACGATCGTATCGGAGAGATCTGTTGGAACTTTTTTCGCGAAGACAAGAACTGCACGAAATACTTCCTTCGTTTCTTTTCTTTTTAGATTCTTTCTTTATTTGCACACCAATTGATCGACGATTGACAAAGAAAAAAAATGGAATTGATTTCTTTTGTGGAACAACAACAATACGCTTGATAAAATAAATTCATATATATATGCAAACTCTGACAATACAAGTTATCGTAATTTTGTCAAAACGACCATCAGAGCTGTTCAATTATTTCTCCTGCTAACCAAAATCCCCCAACTTTGTCAAAAAGACTTCGTATATATTCATGTACCACCTACTTCCAAAACCTTCACGTTCCTTCGATCATCTTCCACCATCGCGGAACAACCACATCCACCCACACAATCTTTGTGTTTCGCACTTTCGATCGATCATCCACCCACCCACACTAAACACACTAAACCGAGTCACCACGTGACGAAGAACCGTTTCGAAACCAAGAAATCACCGACGAAGACCAACATGTAA